GTATGATAATTGGCTTTCTTGCCGTAAGTTGAATAAAAACATAAACAAAATCTATTTATTTTTTAGGTAAATATGATCCATAGCTTAGCATACAAAACTAGAAACCGCTAACGTGGTTCACTTCAAATCTAATAAACTACTCTCTACTGTACGAGCACCCATAAAGCTCACAAATCAATATGTTATAAGTTTCTTAGTAAATGTAAAACTATCAAGTTCTGGTTTCAAGAAGAGTACAGAAGTGCTGGAACTATTTCTTGACTGTCTTGCTCTTTGTCGCTATCACAATAAAACCACATATTTTCAAGCTTTTTAACACCTTTGTTGAATTGGACCGAGCCAGGTTAGCTCTTCCCCTCTGTTTCCAGTCTTTTTGCACCTGCTAACACCGTGGGAATGCCTGGGGAGAGAAATAAAGGTATTACCCCTTCTCAGAAAAACACCTACGTTTACCCGAAATAATATGCATTTGCACATTCAGCGTGAAACCGAGGCAACGAAGGGGAGGACCTCACCTCAGTTTGAAAGTTTCAATCAAGCTTTGGCAAAAGGACAATTTTGAAACACAATTTTCCCACCACAAAATCGCAACACCATTGAATGCCATTGAAAGGGAACAGTTATTTTATTTGTACAGAGTTTTGTGTTTGTTCTTGGAAACACACTTTATTAATGGCCTTCCTTGTACTTTTATCCATGCTACATATTGAATGAGATCATGGGACTAGGTCACAAAAATAAAGGGCACACACACTATGACTTCCATTCATGTCATTTCCTTATGTAAATCACAACAAATGTGAATTGAAAGGCATGTTAATATAATTATACCAGATAACAATCACATTAACTGTTATCTTTTCATAAAGTATGGTTGTGGTGAAAATCCCTCTGACAAATAGACCTGACTCATATCCTCAAACAGCAAGCATGCCTACCCATTATTTAATGCAAACCATAGGAAACAGCAATGTGTGAACATGTCATAGTAAAATACACATTATTTCACCAAGCCACACGTAGTAAAGTGAAAACATAGTGGTTGAAGTTTGTGTAACATTTTGGTGTAGAGCTGCTGTGTCACATAGCCCACACAAAATGTTATATATTAATTGAGTGATTACTGTAACAATGGAGTTATCGCTTCCTTCTGTAACAGGAGGGAAGTAGTCATGAATGACACGGGGACATCTGGGAACCTGAAGCTATATTTAGACAGCTGAGTCGTAAGCAGATCAAAAATGCAAACTGCTGACCTTTAAATTACAGATTTAAAATGTTATCACCTGAATGTGTGCCTTACGTGACCCTTTAACATGTGTCTAAACAAGAGATATATAATTTAAGGGAGAATTTTAGAAAGATAGTTCTATGTTAAAATGTGCTTTCCTGTCACTCGATGATAAAATCAATATCTATTGTCTGTGTGCTAGTCATGTCAGAGACAGGGTGCTATTCGCTTAAAGACTGGAAGCATGTGGAAACGGCTAACGTTAGTCAGCCCCTCTTTGTAACATTGTAAAAACTTTAGTTTGGTCGGTACAAAAAGGGACAAGTAAGATACATCTATGCATGATAATGAAGAAATTAGAGCTAGGAAGCTATGATAGCTTAACTTAGCTTAGAAACCGAAAGCAGTCAAAATAAGCTAGCCAGCTCTGTAAAAAGATTAAAATAATAATACACATACCAGCACTTCTTAAACCCCAGTAATACAATAGATCGCTAATTGTTTAATCTTTACTCAAAAAGGCACAAGTGAAATCAGTATGCTAATTGGATATGAATATAGGCTAGATGGAGGTGGCTAAAAACTTAGCAGCTGAAAACTGTAACCAGGCAGAAACAGCTGGCTGAACTATTTTAGTAGTTTAACAATATGCCTTCATACTTCACTAGATAACATATTCTGTTCATATTAAAAGTTAAACAAAGTAGATATGTGATATATGGTGCTTGTATTCTTTCTTCCCATTCACAGAGCCAGGCTAGCTGTGTCCCCCTGTAGGCCTACTATTTTAATGCTAGGCTAAGCTAATTGTCTCCAGGCTGTAGCTCCATAATTAGGCTACAGTATATCAATCTTCTAATCTAACTCTCGACAAAAGTGAATAAGCATATGTCCAAAACTGTCAAACTATTCCCTGAAAAGTGTAGGCCTAAGTGCCTTCCAGAAATTACAAGTGTTTCAGTTTAACAATGTAACCATGATGTCATTTCAGTGTTATCAATGCTTTATTTTACTTCCTCATCATCAGTATGTTAACCTGATGATAAACCCTTGCTAAATAATAAAAAACAAACTGAAATACCATTAACTTCCTTAAAACAAATGATGTCATTATGTTATTTGGTTCATTTATAATAAGCACAAATGTTTTATTATGAATTCAGTTACCAGTTTATTGTGTACAGGTAAAAAATATCCAACCGAATACAACGATGCAGTCTAATACAACAGCTCTGTATCAAATCATACTCATTATGGCTATAATGTTACATTTTTTTATTTGTATTTGTTTAATCAAATAATGGTCACTTACTTAGGCTGCCGTTGCATTAAACTGATGGGATTAGTAATGATATTTCCTCAGTTTATTTCAATAAGGGTAGACGTAGCAACATCGTACAATTCACCAACAACACTGGCTACAAACTCCAAAGTCGTCATACATTTGAATCAACACTAAATGTCTGAACCAAAACTTAACATAACCCTCTTGATTAAAGATCTGTTGTGTTAGACGGCATCGGTTTTCCTTGTTAATAAACTGGCAGTGTACCAGCAAAGCATAACAGCCTTAGATCCCAAATGAGGGTGAGGTTGGTGTTAGCTGATCAATACAGAAAAGGGGAGAGTTTCATGACTTTAGCACTTCACCAACAGGGTGTAATGCCGCCTGAGGCTAACACTGACGCAGATAAGTGGTACTTTTCCATCACACAGACAGAGGGCAATGTACAGCACTTGACACTGAACTGGTTTCTCAGCAGTTGTTGTCCATAGCAACTTGCTGTAAACAGAAGTCAAGTGCAGACATGAAGACTTGCACAAAAAAGAAAATCTCAAGGATGTAAAGTGGAAGTCCCAGTATTTCCTGTGTGGGGTAAATATCTGGCCATATATACACACAAGCACGCAATCTTAGCAACAAGATTTAAAAAAAAGGAACAGTTTGTACTAAGATGCCTCCTTGCGATACTTGCCTCAGATTAAAGTACGTTTGGAATTCAACAAATCAGTCTGATGTGACGCATTCATGGGCATAGAGATAAGTGGGCTGCATTTGAAGTGACATCACATGACATCAGAGACATGCTGGGAGTGTATTTTTCTGGGTATCGCCCCGTAGAGGTGTGAATATGGCACTGCTCTTGGATACCGTTGCTATTTATTCACCAAGCCTACCTTTACTATGTAAACAAAAGCAATCCTGGGAGTTTTTTTTATCTTAAATGTCAGGGCAGCACAGGTAGCTCTGTCACGCACTTTGCTATCATGTTGTGCAACAGAAAGGAAATTCCTCCTTAAGACTTGCCTCAAAGCAACAATAGGACAAAATGCAAATTAGGTAACAGGAATAAGGAAAGTCACCGTTAAAACAAAAATATTGAAAATTCCTATCAAATCTCATGCATTTTCTCAATAAAAAAGTGTTTTCTGGGATTTTTGTGCAGAAATTCATCTCCATGAGGGTGTTTTTTATGATGTGCAATGCTAGACGGGTAAATCCAGAACATTGTATTGTGGAACATGCAGTGTTGGTTTCATAAGGGAGTCTCCACAAGGAAACTCTAGATTATTCCCCCTCTTCTCCATGTGCTGCTTAAATTCGCATTCTAGTGTGCAGACACAAGTTTTGAAATCCTGGCAGCTTTCTTTCTCTTACCATGTTGTGTGAATTATATTGTGTTTTCACCACATGCACTATTGTCATTTATGCAAATCCTATTCATATACAGGTCACATATTTTCTGTTAGAACATAATTTGCCTCAGGACAAAGGGACGCTGTTGTGTGCCAGATCTAATCATAATAAGGATATTATTTGGTTGCATGTTCCAAAATCACCCCAATTATGTCATGCTTTTCTTACTAATCTAAGAGACTGATAAAAAACAATCCCCGTTAACGTATTTTATCGTAATTTAAAATAATTGTATTCATGTTTTCAATGTATTCATTTAAGTTGACTTACAGTTTGGAAATGACCCCTTTATTTTTAGTATATTTACTTTTTTATCAAATATAAATAAATATGAAGATGCTTATGCTTGTGTTGACTGTTGCACAATCATACAATACATTGAATTGAAGGAAATAAAACAAACAACAACAACCTTTGGAGACTGTAAAAGTATTTAATGGTGACAAAGAATGCAAATAACAAAGGACAACATTTTAGTTAAATAACATGTATTGCTTACATTTTGTGATATGAGACTGTAGTTACATATAAATATGCTTTACAAGTAAAGTTAATTTTATTTTGTTAGGACAGCCACAGTTATATTTTAACCCAATGTGGTAAATAGTGGGCCATAGTTCATATTCAGTGTAAATAGTGAACTGAATTTTCTATTGGAAACTTTTCTCTTTTTAGAACAAGTTTAAATGAGCCAAATCAGGCCAAAAGTAAGTCAATGGAAACTATATTTAAAAAGTAATTCTAATTTGGTTAGCCACCTAAATTAGATAATTCCCCCAACGCAGGAGGGAATTCTTGAAGAACCTTTTAGGGGCTGTCTCCCTCTCATTCATACCCATGGTGTATCATTCATTGGCACAAAAAACGACATGTCCCCTAACCTACATCACAGGTGAAAATGGTGTCTAATAGGAAACTACAGGTTTTCATTCTGAGTCTTTAGGGGGGGATTTTTCTTACAAAAGCACAAGCCCTGTGTGATTTCCCTTGCTTTTTCTAAGATAAGTCAATTGGAAATCCCCACTGAAGCCCCGCCCCGACCGAATTGCACAAAACCGAGTGCGCCTCCTTCAGCGGCACCACTCTTCCCTGACCTTTGGACACAACGGAGCTGTGTCTTCTGACAGTCGCAAAGTAAACATGGACATTCACAGAGTTTCGAACCAAAACCAAATGGATTATAACTTCGACAACACGGAGCCCAAGCACGGCAAAATGCTGCCGTGCCAGGAGGACCGTTTTGACAGCGGCCTGGATTCCCTGAAGGAGGACGAGCTGGTGAGCGACTTTGAGGGGATGTCTGTACACACAAGCGAGGAGATCCAACAGGAATATGAGCCGTGGAGAACTGCAGTGACCGAGGATGGTGACACGTAAGTTCTTTTTTCTGTAGATTATTAATTATGCAAGTACGCATTTCTTCTCTGTGCTTACATCAAGTCAGAGTTTTGCAATCGAACGCAGCATATTAAGTTTAAACTTCATGCATTGGAAAAGCTGCAAAAGGAAGCATGAAATTCTCGAAAGTTGCACAAAAACTAGAGGCCTTTAAAAGTGTATGCAGCAAAGCGCGTACCCTGTGTGTGTGTGTGTGTGTGTGTGTGTGTGTGTGTGTGTGTGTGTGTGTGTGTGTGTGTGTGTGTGTGTGTGTGTGTGTGTGTGTGTGTGTGTGTGTGTGTGTGTGTGTGTGTGTGTGTGTGTGTGTGTGTGTGTGTGTGTGTGTGTGTGTGTGTGTGTGTGTGTGTGTGTGTGTGTGTGTGTGTGTGTGTTGTGTGTGTGTGTGTGTGTGTGTGTGTGTGTGTGTGTGTGTGTGTGTGTGTGTGTGTGTGTGTGTGTGTGTGTGTGTGTGTGTGTGTGTGTGTGTGTGTGTGTGTGTGTGTGTGTGTGTGTGTGTGTGTGTGTGTGTGTGTGTGTGTGTGTGTGTGTGTGTGTGCGTGTGTTCTTTGGCTGAGAGCGCAGTCTGGGCGGTGCTAAAGTCCGCTGTGCGCGTTCAGGAAAGTCCCTGGCGCTCTGCCAGGAACTGATAAAGCATCAGATGTGTCAAGCCACAACTGGTGGAAATAACCCGACAAAACTCCAGTCTTGCGAAACCATCCACTGCTGGCGCTTTGTTCTTTCTCATTTGGCTGAAACCACTTCCTCTGAGCGTGCATTTCTTGATTTTATTTTATAAAAGGCACTATTTTAACTAACCAATCTCTCTTTTTTTCTGTACCCACAGGCTTCTTCACTTGGCCATCATTCATGAATCCACAGAACATGCGCATCAGATTATCAAACTGTCTCACAATCACCCCTTCCTCAACACACAGAACCACCAGAGACAGGTAAATTCAAAATGATTGATTACCAGCTGAACAAAAACACTCCTTATCACACACACATTCCCTTTTTAAAGTCAAGATAATGATGAAACCTAACTTGTAAATGTAATTTCTGCAGACTGCTCTCCACCTGGCAGTGATCACCGAGCAGCCTCAGTTAGTGGAGCGGCTCCTGAAGGCCGGATGTGACCCGTGTGTGGCCGACGACAGCGGCAACACCGCGCTGCACATCGCCTGCAAGAGAGGCTCTCTCGCCTGCTTCGGGGTCATCACACAGAACTGCCAACGCCAAATCGCCTCCATGGTTTCCTTTCCCAACTACAATGGTAAGTTAAAATAGAACCCTTAAAGACACATTTATAATTTTTCACTTAAGCAGTTCTTGAATTGGTTAACGAAATGTTCTCTCCTCTTCACAGGACATAACTGTCTCCACATGGCGTCCATTAACGGCTACATTTCATTGGTTGAAAGCCTTGTTCAGCTGGGAGCAGATATTAACGCACAGGTAGGTTTCATTAGCACTAAAGGAAGCAAGTTTTGAAGATGGTTTTCTTCAGCAAAAACTCAGTAAGAAGCACAAGAAATCTAACTTTTTTTCTCTATGTTGTTTCTTTCAGGAACAATGCAGTGGTCGTACGTCGCTTCACTTGGCGGTGGATCTCCAGAACCCCGCTCTGGTCCGCCGCCTCCTTGAACTCGGCGCCGATGTTAACTGCTTAAACTACGGAGGTTTCACACCCTACCACCTCACATATGGGCGCCACAACGAAGAGATCCGCAGCCAGCTTTACGAGAAAACGGCGCAATACCTGAGGGAACTGCCCGAAAGCGAATCAGAAGTGAGCGATATGGAGGATCTGGACACATCGGAAGATGAGGTACGTTTCTGAATCAGGCTCCTCAGAGGATATACCACCTGAAGATTTCATATAATGTTGTCTTCAACAGAATGGGTTCCTAACGTCTTTTTTTTTTCTTTCCCACAGTTGTACGATGACATAAAGTTCGGAAAGTAAACTTCCCGTCCGATCAGTGGTGAGAACCACAAGTGAAGCTGCTACTGGGTCGCCCAGCCACGCCCCCCCCCCCCCGGACGAGGGACAAATCAGCCCCCCGTCCAGGCCCATGTCCAAAAAGCCTGGTCCCGGGATCAAAAGAACATGGATGGAGACGTCGAACGATTGGTCCGGATCGCAGAACGATCTGCGCCCCAAACACAGCGCGACCACGTCCTCCATATTCTTCTTACTGTATAAATATATACCAATGTGTATATTCCAGACAAGACGTGTGTAATATATTGTAAATACAGAGATATTATTTTTGTACCTGTACATAATGTTGTGTGAATTTAAACACTATTTACAAGAAAATGTTCCGAATAAAAAAGAATGTTATGAATATAAACAGCTATGACTGGTTTGATTTCCTTCCACGGGCTTTCCACATTGTCAAAAAATAAGTACAATTTCTCCCTTGCACAAAAGTGACAGAGATAAGAGTCATCACCCAGACTTGAGAAAGACACAGAGAACATTCACTTTGAAACAGTCTGGGATTTCCTTGTTGGGGCGAGGTCACTGTGTCTATGAGTCAGCGCGTTATAAGAGGAACATAATGTGCTTAAATATTCCACCCTTACCGCTGAATAGCAGTTGGAACTTGCTAAAAAAGTACCCAGGAACTTTAGTGAGTAGGAAGTGTCTTTTACAGAGAAGGGAAATTAGCCAGACATAGTATAACTGCTGTGTCACAACCACCAGGAAACTTTGCAGGGAAGTACAAGATTTCCCAGTCTGCTGATAGATCTGCGCATGATAGCTGGGGAATTTTTCTGAAATTACCTTAAATAACCAGGAACAAGCTCTAATTCCCGCTATGAAGTTAAACTGGAGCCAGCGCTTATCCCAAAATGTCCCTGAGTGATTAGGTTTAATAGCAGTGCGTACTGTCTGTAGCCTGTAATTGTTTTCATGGCTGTAAACATTAACCAGGTTGTAGACCTGAGGACTGCAGGGGGGGTTTCCAAGGACTTTTTAAAGTTAATTAAGGACAGGGGAAAATACCAAGGAGACTTTAAACAAGTTTAAGAAAATGACAGAAAACATCACTAAATATAACATTAAAAAAAACTATTTTAACTGAATTTCTGATTTAAAAAAAAGCTGCTAATAGAGAGAAGTTGGTTGGATTTAGTCCAAATGAGGGTGAAAATGTGTGATCATCAGTTCTAGTCACATGTTGATGACAAATCCTTTAAAATGCTGAGCTGGAAGGGGTCATTGACTAGAATACTCAGCCAGTTCCCCCCACCCTGACACTCACCAAATGTCAGCTTGGTCAAAACCAGTTAGAGGGGGAAAACATTTTCCCTTAGCAAAAGAGAAACTACTCGTATGATACATCCGGTGGGGGGTTGAAGTATGCTATTTCTGACAAGCGACATCTGCGTAATAAAAGCAAAAATGTAGAGAAAATTAGGTCAAATCAGGTCTACATCACTGTGTAGTAAAAGAACCTCTCCGCAGCACCTCGGCATGTCATGTGATTCTTGTGCAGAGCCACAACAGGAAGCTCAGAGGTAAAGTCTGCACAATCTCATGTTCCAGTAAACGACTACTTGACACATGAAAACAAAGCTCAGGAGTTTAACATCTAACATACTCATATTTACTTTGACATCAAATGCAAACAGCTCTGTGTGCAAAACAAGTAGGGATACAAAGACAACGGTTACTCGAAAAACTTTTTTTTATTGTTGAATGAAACAGTGGGGGGTAAATGTACAGCAAACAAAGATAGCCTCCATCTGGGAACTGTATATCCCATCATGCTCTAACTTAATCCAACAGGGGACGTGTCTCTGCTCGCTCAGTCCCGCTCGGCCAGGGCCATCAGGTGGACGTCCACCTCCCCCTCCGTCAGAATCCTGCAGAAACACACAGGGGCATGATTCTGATATCAAACATGTATTTCAACCACAATTAGCAACATGAATAAAGGAGTTAAATGACTGTCAGAAAAGGGGTGTTTAATGCTTTTCTTGGCATCAATGATAGTATCTGGATTGTTAAAGGGTTGATTTAATAATGGAGCAATTTGAGTACACCCACTTATGCTGTTGGTAGTTAAAATCTACATTTTACAGTTAGAAAGCAAACAATTATTTCTTCTTTCACCTGGTAAAATGCATATTTATTGTAATTTACAAAACAGTGATTTACAACAAACGTAACTAATACTTACAACTAATAATATAATTAAAGGGGAATAAATGGCAGATCGATCGATAATAAAAATAATTGATTAATGTAAAAAAATGAAAAATGTAGTTTCCCAATAGCATATGTGGTTATTTAAAGGTGGGGTAGGTAAGTTTGAGAAACCGGCTCGAGATACACTTTTTGTTATATTCCATGGAATGTTCTTAACATCCCGATAGCAATGAATATCTTAAGAGCTTTGACAAAAAATCCATAAAAAAATTTCATCTGTGGAAGCTGTAATACTGTAAAAAGCACGACCAATCATTTTAGCCGGCCCGGCTAAAATAACTGGATGGCCTACCTGCCTGTCAGCCTTCCATCTGTGCACAAACTTATGTCGTGCCCTCATTGGTCATGTGCGCGTTCGTGTGTGTTGGAGGAGGGGCTCTGTAAGGAAGTGGCAGATTTCTTCCGGCTGTGTATTTTCAAATTCTAGCGATCTCGAGCCAGTTTCTCCAACTTACCTACCCCACCTTTAAGTAACCATTAAAATGCTATTATACATTTTTTCCATGGAGCATATTAAATTGAAAATGCAATATAAACAATGTTACCGGATTTTCAATTTATGCAAGCAATATTAAAAGGAATGTCAAATAGCATTTTCATTTGCAAAAATTGCATTTAAATTGTGGCTGAAAGAATGATTCCACATTTAAAAAAAATTAGGCTTCACTGACTTTTATTTAACATTACTGTACACAAGGCCATTCTTGATTTTCAAATTGTGAGAAAATTGCATTTTGGCTTTAATAACTGAAGTGTCCACTGTACGTTGGGGTATAACTTTAAAATTAAATGTCAAATGCATTAATTTAATTGTAATTAATTGTTTATATTGCATTGCAATTTCATTCTAATATAGTCAATGCAAAAATGGGTTAAAAGCATTGCTCAAATAATAAGTATATATATATGTGGAAAATGATAATGCTGTTGCAGAATTACACATTTATTTTTCCAGTATAATTATGTTTCCTAAAGCAGTCTCCCTGAGAGCTTAGACGCTGAATGTGAGCTGTAATAATGGAAAACTTTTGGTTGATTGCTTTTCATATCATAATTATAACTCCAATAAAAATGTTTTTTTTTATAAATCATTGTGCATTTTTGGTCTTTTACCTGAACTTGGGGTCCTGTAATGTGACAACTCCCACCTCCAGCTCAGAGGGCTTGAAGTCGATGGAGAGAACCGTCGACAGACAAGAGATTGCGGTCTGCAGGGAAAAAACAAAGAGATAATGTTACATCCTAATAATAATTTGCTTAACATTCAAATAAATGCAAAATTAGAACCCGCAGCTGGAAAGCACCTCTGAGATTACTTTCACTTCCATGTTCCGCCCTTATCAACCTGTGTACCATCCTTTAAAGACTTTAGTCTCACCTCAATAGTTTGCTCAAAGGTCCAGTCCAGCTTCTTTTTTACTTTCTTCTCCAGGAAGCTGGTGGCTTCTGTCTGCTTCACTCCGGAGGCGGTGGCCTTGAAGCCGCAGTAGTAGCCTGCGGGGTCGTTTTTGTAAACCTGGGGCCCGTGCTCATCGTCGATGCCGATCATGATCATACCTGTAGGAGACAGCAATTGGCGTCAGAGTTTTACGCCTATAGATTTGCCAAAACACATCTTTACCCCCTCTAAATTTGAATAATACGTACAGCAGCCCAGTGGTCGCATCTCGGCGTTCTGCGTGTAGACTTGTGAGATGTCAGCGAGTCTCTTGCACAGCATGTCCACTGGAATTTCGTAACCGTACTTGTACTGCCAGTTGGCGGCCTCGTAGCGAGCTCGCTGGACTTGGGACCTGCTGTCAGCTGGAGGAGATAGAGGAGGTGGGAGAAGTGGGCGATAAGTTAAAAGCATTCATTTAACTGTCACTCAGTCATGTTGGTACTTCTAGAATCTATTTGCAATGTTGAAATGAGATCCACAGAAAGCTGATGTTGACGGTAGGAGTTCTTTGGAAAGAAGAAGCATTTTTAACAGTTAATGTTGTGACTGAGTATGATGTGAAATGATCCGCAACACTCATCACTTTGAACTGAAAATAATTGGAATTTTCAAAAGATAGGGTTTTAACTGGATTTCATAGATTATTTTCCCGATATAATGAAAAATTACAGCATTTCTTGCTGCAAGGCATGCCCCCAACCTACTATTACTGTGACAAGTTTACACCAGGCAACACTCAGAATGGTTACAGAATATGAAAAGTAACAGATTTACTTCAAAGTGTTTAGGCTGAAATGGGTATTGTCCAAAATCCAATGTTCCTACCTTTAATATTTAAAATAGACACACCGATTTGTTGAAATCCTTTATGATTGATGATGATAAATCAAAAACCTGACTTAGTGTTAAATGCAAATAATCTCTGGTTGTGTCCCCTCTCAAAACACGACCCAGCGTATTTTTCTTACCCGTCATCCCGGACATTACGCATCCAATATGGTCTGTTATTCTGAAAAGGTGCGTCACTGTGCCTGCATCCAGGAGCTTGTCCTGTTGTCAAGAAAGAAAAGGTTTAAAATGAATAAATGTGGGACAGCTGCCTCATTATTTGGTGTCATTAATGCATCAAAAAGATGTTTGAGACAAGGAGAAACATTAATAGATAGAAATATTACATGTAAACAGACATACATGCTTTTACATCTTCCGCCAATAAAAACAAAGTAGATTTAAATGAATCATTTATGTATTTTACCAAACTTTTCCTGGTTAAATCTCTAAATTGTGAATACATGTACGAGTAGTTTAACTTCAGCAGAGAACTCTGGTACATCATAGAGCTTTTCACTTAGACAATAGACATATTGATCACGGACACAGGATATACATTTGCTCACTGTTGACAAATAAAGGATATCCAGCTTGCAAAAAATATGCAATACTTTCCGATGTTAAGAGCTTTATAATGAATATATTTAAATATCAGTATGGGTGTTGGTACACTTTATTCACCAGTTTAGAATGTTCACAGTGCTTCAACAGTGTGAAATCAAACACCTGATAAGAACTCACCGGTACTTTTTTCTGTGTTACGACGATTGCGCAGTCCTTCCCCCTGATTGCTACTGATGTGAGTCCACCTTGGTTTATGGCCTTGAAAGCATATTCTGCAGGTTAACAGCAAAAGAGGGTTTCTTAGATGTTGCATGATCAGACATCAGCGGAAAGAATGTAATGGATTAATAAAAACAAGCACAGCGTTCAATTATGTTGTACTAGAGTCTATATGCACCAACACACAGCAGTTTCCCTTCAGCAGTACAACAAGAAGTTGGTGTCATCTGATTGGCCAGCATGACATAATCATTGACTGAGGGTTGCATCCCAAAAAGAAACCCTTGTCACATCAACAAGCCCTGTCCATGTGTAGAGTATATCCTATGACAATATAGGATCAGTTTCACAAGCTATAACTTAGCTGCAAACAGCAGAGAACACTTATTTGGTTCATATATTGGGTGGAAATAAAACATTTTAAAACAATTAAAAGCAGCCTTAACATTTGACTCAATGGCATGTACACGCAATGAATCAGCTCCCCAGACTGCATTGCTAAACATGCTAACTAGCATACTAGCCAGCTAGCTATTGTCAATTGCGCCTTTTGTTCAATTAAAGCATGAGTAAAACACACGTACAAATAACAGGTTTCAAGCAACAAACACGACTTTAATGTTTCCATTTGATACCACTTTCACTTTTGCGCGGTGTCATTTATCAGTTAGAAGCCAGGCTAAACGAACCATGACAGAGCATTTAGCTAGCTAGCTAACAAGTGAGCCTGCCACCCGGCTTTTGTCTGGACAGATCCACATACTGACCGACTTGATAGAGCCTTCCTTCGGGAGAGAAGATGGTGATGTGTCGATCAAACCCTGCACTCGAGCCTCGAGACATTTTACAAGGTAAAGTTGGCCGAAAAGTTCGCCAAATGAATTTGCAAGCAGATTTTTACTTCATGCACAATGTTTTCCCCGGAAGTTGAACTGATGGTAACGGAACTACATCCGGTGTCAGCGGTCTGCTTCGTTACCATGGTGATATAACACACGCTGTATCTGAAATGGTTTTGTTAATGCTTTTATCGCCCACTTCATTTTAAAGAAAATGATATAACTTGACTACTTGACAGTTGTAAATATTACATACATTTCACATTTATGTTTAAAAAAAGTTAAAGTCTACTTGTTTGGCTTTATGTTTAACTTCTCAACAGTAGCCTAAATAAAGAAGGCTACAATCAGCTACCCCTTTAGGGTACTAGCTTCAACATAAACATGCTATTTCCCTTAAATGCAATAGTAATAATATAAATAATAGAAAACATAGTTTTAAAATTAATATGTTGATTCAACTCAAGCATAAATAAGGTCAGCTTTATCAAATGTGCACGTCCAGTTATGGGCAAGTATTATCAGAATATTGGAGAAAAATAAAAATATTTTTGATTTTGCAGATATATAATAAATAATGATATATAATACATTTTTAAAATGTCCTGTTTGTATAAAACAGTAGGCTACATTACTGCAAAACAGTACCTGCAAGTAGGCTACATTGTAATGGGCCTATTGGGTACTTTCATGATGACTCGTGAAGTTTTATTGTCAAGTGTCCCAGTAAGGTTCAGGGTATTTTATTTGTTCCTGTAGGCAGATTTGGTTTGCAGTTAAAGGACAAGGTATCCATTGTGACACACGCTTCAAAAAACACAGACAAGACAAACCGCCATGAAAAGGGTGACAGAGATCCAGCTTTCACAATACCTTGAGAGAATTATTCATTTTATTATGTACAATTTTCCTGCTGTCAAAAAGCGTCCCATAAAACCCCCCCGTACATGCTGACCCATAACCCACATGGCTAACTAGAACATTACATGGAAAGGTGCCATCATTATTGTCATTAGTCACACCTGTGCTTCCCCTCCAATGACAAGTCAAAATACCTGCTGCGGAAATGGCTTTTATTACCTTTTATAGTCGTGTTAAGTGCCTGGCTCCATTGTTATAATGCCAAATAACAGTAACAGTTTCAGTTACATGGTTATAATAGCTAACTATTTTGCTACTTTTCTCTAAAATAAGCAGCTTCCTTTTACCTGCAATAGACGCCAACAAGATTTTCACCTAGGACCTAGACCATAGGGAAGCTAAAATTGTAACTAATACAGTGACAAAATGCAAACATATCACATGTTCTTTTCTCTATCGCATTACCACCCCAGTGAATATATCTTTTAGATGAAACATGATCATGACTTTTTTTTTATATTTTCTTTTTTTTGTGTAACACAGATTACTAGATAAGTATTAACTCCCCATTTCCTTGTCCCAGAAAATAAAGTATGCATGAGTTAGGGATTTTCCATGTCCCCAGGTAGCTGATGCAGCTGAATAGAGGGTGTTTGCTTCCTCTTTATTAGTTACTCACATATTTAGATAATGACAAGTATAATAAATGTGACTTTAAAACCTCCCAGCCATTCTCTGGAATATCCTTGAAAGTGTGAAGCAATGAGTACTTTGGTATTTCACAAGTGCGGTATAATGGTTAGTGAAAGGTCTGCAATGCCAACAGGTGTCAAACTTTTTTCATTTATAACAAAAAGTCCCTGTCTGTGATTTCCTCATCCTTATCCTAATATTTGTAGTAGTTTGTGAAAAACTCATAGAGAAACATGCATGGGAGTGATCTTATTTAACTAATGAGTCACATGTTAACAGGACATAAAAGGGTATCTTTTTCAAACAAGTAGTCATCTAAAATGAATGCAAAATCCAGTATTGCAAAATGTTTGTTCACTCCTGCACAACCAAAACTATTTACTGTTACTACACAGTTCTAAAGAAGAATAAACACAATAACTTCCAACATGGATTTTGCAATTTTAAAATAGGTAGTATTAAAGGCAGTCCTAATATGCTCATCGTCAGGTTCATATTTGTATTTTGTGCCTGTACTGTGACATGTTTCCATGCTTTAATGTTCATAAAGGTCTTTATTTTTCTCATACTGCTTGTGCTGCAGCACCTCTTTTCACACTCTGTCTGAGAAACTCCCTCTGGCGGGATTTTAGCCTTTGCAGACCATTTACATGCACAAAAAACATTCTAACACACAGTACAGGGAAGGGAAAACCCAAATGGCATAATAGGGCCTCTTTAACACATCCATTCATTGCATGAGTTGAGTGGTTGATGAAAAATATCTATCTATCCAAGTTAAATAAATGGCCTTACGGCAACTCAATAAAATGCTATGTTGCTTCATCATCAGAACCCATTGATATTTTACCTAGACAGCAAACCCCCCTCCCATGCAGATGCATACCCGCACTTTCACTTTCCTCCCTCTTTTTGTACTCTTCCCCACCTCTGTTCTCTCTCCTACGGCTTCTGTTGGTGCTATACAACAAGCACGGCTCATTCATTTTCACACTGTATTCACAATTGAAAACCAGAAAGACCCCCACCCCCGGGTCCAATACTAGAGGCGTGGGACTTCATTCTAGGGTGCGTGCGGGGGATCTCCACCATTTATATAAAGACATGCAAGTAAAGACATTGCAAAGCCACATTCTGGCTAATGTTTTCCAAGCACAGAAGTTTAGACGTTAGGCAATAAGGGAAACAAGTTTGTTGAGGCCTTCCTCTGCAATCCCTCGTAAATTAAAATGAACCACATTAGTTTTGACTCATTTTCTAGACAACATTTTTAACAGCTTTTTATTTTTAAATTAGACAGTATTTTAAATTTCCCGAGCATATAAGTGTAAACCCATCTTTTGTATGTGGTTTTCTGTACAAACCCTGCTTACATTTCTTTCTAAAGAAAACTATGAAAAAAATCTAATTTATCTCACAAAAAGATTAAATTCATCATGTTTTTCAGCATGCATGAAGCAAACAGTTTCTTAGAACCCGAATGCTTATCTAAAATGAGCTAGTGTGATGTTAATGTGATATAAGTCCCCTGAGCGTGCGTGACAACAACGCTGTGGGCTCACTTCCTTGTGCAAGAAACATGTTCCTTAGAATTTGCAATGCTGTACCTTCTAAATTATTTAGTGGTTTGACCAGTTGAAAACACTCCCATGGTTGCACAGTAGCCTCAAGGTGTGTTGCAGTTAGTGGTGTTGTGTTGTATTTAAATCATCCCGATTCTTTGCAAACCTGTTGGCCTGTAAAGCCCTTTGATATATTGTTACTCAAAGCTCTCTATGAGCTTCAGCAGACGGCTAACTATTAGCAAGATCTCTGAAAAGCTTAGCCAATATTGACACATTCATTGCATTTATTGTCATATTCTCTTTGTGATATGTTGTTTTCCTTTTTTTTGGTATCCTTTAAAGCGGCAATTGAATCAATGAAAATGATTGAAGGAGATTCCACTGTTGAATCTGCATTTGTAGAACAGCCAAAAGGAACTAGTTCTCTGAAATGACCTGTGATTTGCCAAAGTCTCCCATCACAGGCAAGATTTTCTAAAGCCTGGTTGGGAGAAATTCAACCTTTAAACAACCTAAATAACAATGTGCTGGAAGGTAATAAGGATATTCTTTTTCAATGATGCGCCCACAAATCTGCCCACTCCAGCATTAATGCTCAAATAAATTCTACTTCTACAAAGTGAGAAAAACCAAATAGAATATTGTCATTCAGGATTGGTTGCATGGCATCAAGACAAAACAAATACTTTGATGTGACATTCGAGTTTTAAACTTTACCACTTGTTCTTTACATAGATGAACACGCGTGTGTGTGGTTTAAAAGAGAAGGTTGATCAGCTTTACTCTGCAGCACAGAACAGGTGACAGGCTTTTAATATAGAATCACACCTGGTTTTGGCTAAAAGAAGCCCTGATCTAATGCCCTAATTTATTGGTTTTTGCCTCTATTAGAAAACTCTTCATTTGCTTGAATATAATATTGTATATACTCCTTCTCTACAGAGCTTCATTGAGTTTGTGAGATGCCACTTAGTTCAGGCCGACTTAAAGGTGGGGTAGTTAATTCACTTCAGAAACACTTTTTGTTATATTCCATGGAATGCTCTTAACATCCTGATAGCAATGAATATATTAAATGCTTTGACAATAAATCCATAAAAAAATGTCATCTGTGGAAGCCGTACAGTAGCGCTGTAAAAAGCACGACCAATCATTTTAGCCGGCCCGGCTAAAATAACTGGATGGCCTACCTGCCTGTCAGCCTTCCATCTGTGCACAAACTTATCTCGTGCCCTCATTGGTCATGTGCGAGTTCGTGTGTGTTGGAGGAGGGGCTCTGTAAGGAAGTCTGAAGGAAGAGGCAGATTTTTTCCGGTTGTGTATTTTCAAATTCTAGCGCACTCGAGTTGGTTTCTCCATTCTTTCCTACCCTACCTTTAAGTACAGTTTCTATTTTCTGAACTACTTGCCAGGAAATGTTGCTTTTGGCCTGTATGTCTCCACTCATGCACTATTATGGTAATATCTTTGGTTTTATGACCAAATTCCCTTTAGAGCCTTTGTGCTTATCTTCCAGCTAAACTAAGCCCGGAGTATAGAGAAAGCAAAACTTACTGTAGTTTACTGCTAATAGAGAGTAAAACACTGCTAAACTCTTGCATAACTGCTGCAATCACTCAAGTCAGATAAAGAAGGTAATACAAAGAATACAAATCAGCTTTAAACACCTCCTTTTTTATGTTTATTTTTTCTTGTATTTATTTTATTTACATATTATCTTTGGTTGGGTATTATTTTCTTTTATATTTAATTTTTAACTGGCACCTGTTTCGGATTTGTAAGCATACCTGTCTGTACCGACTACTCAGGGAAAGGTCAGAGAATTTAAATGAATGTCTGTATTTATGTATAATTTGCCAAGACTTGGAAGGAAAAGGGTAATGTCTGTATGTGTATGTGAGCAATAACGTGTAGATTTGAGTGGACTGTAAACTGAGGCGGGTGTGATTTTTATGTACATCTCCATGTTTGTTATATATTTCTGGAATAAAT